ATTCCAATGATATTTTTCTTCGATGAGGATTAAGTGACAGCAAATCATTTCAAAAGTCAATATCCTTACCAATCTGAATAACACCGTGATTTGTACAGTATAAATTCTTCCGCTGATTTCTAACACAACATCCAACAGTTGCAAGTGCACTTTCATTTGCTGGACATTGTTCTAAATTTTATGTTCCATACCTTGCTCCTGAGTAAAATCCTTGTACTTCTCATTTTCTTTCAAGTTCAACCACTAGTCCGTCGGCATATCTATGCCTACAATTTAAACCCGTATAATTAAAAGAAAAAAAAACTTGTAATTCCAACTGAATGATTTATTTTTTATGGAAATATTTCAGCTAGCAGTTGATAGTCTTAGTCACTTCTTAATTTGAATAAAACAGTACAAAGTTCAAAACGCTTAAGAATTTAAATCAAGGAAAACAAACCGAGTTGATGACGTTAACAACGTAATAGCAAATCGAGGCATTTTTTTTTTCTCCCATATCATATTTTCTTTGGAGCAGAAATGTCCAGACAAGATAAAGTTGTGCTGCTTCTATCCTATTGCAGGCATTTTTTGTAGTTGTTATTACCATTTGTTCAGCTACTCTTCTTTGATTGAAATGCTTTTGGTTCGTCAATTTTATTTCCGGATGGTCGAAGTCAATTCTGTACCTTCTGTAATGGCATGTAATAGAATTGCTGAAGTTTTTTTTTCCAATTTTCAAACTCGTAGTTCAACTTTTCCATTTCTTATTATTTGTACTCTATGAACTTTCATGGTGCATGTGCTTGAGATGATGTTGGTGAGAAAAGTAGCAGTGTACGGATTCAAATTCTCGTCTTGCCTGTCGCGTTCACCTTTGCATAAATGCTCTTGAGATAAGCATAAACCCATCCCTTTGCCCATCTCCTAGGTATGCGTGAAATAGCAAGGTACTCTGGCTGTCTAGTCTTGCGCACCAACCGATCTAAGAGGAGAATGTCTGAATTCATAGCAGTAGAGAAGGCAACGGGAAACTACGCTCCTATATTTTCCAAGAAGCCATAGAAATTCTCAGATGATAAATAAAAGAAATCCGTGGAGAGCCATGATCATAAACGAACAAGGTGTTTAAAAAAAAAAGAAGCTTTCTTACCAACTGTTTTACAATAAATAAATACACTCCAAGACTATTCAAGACTTCAGCACTCTCCTCCGTACAGTATTTCCTCGATTATCCGGACAATTTGGTACAGGAATGGAAAAATATGTTCGGATAATTAAAAATTAATTCATAATTGAATACATAAAATAACGGAAAAGAATGACGAAAATAAGCTTTTTTTTTTTCTGAAAGAAATTTAACATTTACAGTGTGGAAACAAATATTCGTACACATACAAATTTTTAATTTATTGTATTTCCAACTAATGAATAAAGATAATTTTCATGTCATCCCGGATCTGAAGACTACATGCGAAGAAGAATGGAACAAAATACCAACTAAAATTTGCAAATCATTAATTGAGAACAAGAAGTGGTTGGTTCCTGTAGAAGTGAATAATGGCCATTCTACAAAGTATTAAATGAAGATTATGTATACTTTTTTGTATTGTACGAATACTTTTTTCACCCATTGAAATGGATAAATGCGATTTATTTCTATTAAATCAATTTTTTTCTGTGTCCTATTCATATTTAGTCATTATGCATCAGTGTACAGTTAATTATATGAAAAGTATGTTTATTAGTTGGAAATACAATAAATTTAAAAAAATGTATGTGTATGAGTATTTGTCCCCCCCCCTGTATATAATCAAATAACATTATCGAACACTTTGTCAAGGCTTTGTCCAGTTTATTTTTCATGAAAAAAAAAATCCGAAAGTTAGGTGCGTTCTTAAGTAGAATTGAATCAGTGACAGGACATCTCTTCTGTCTTTGTTACCGAAACTATAAATATGCAGCACTAAGACAGAATGCATGGCCATCAGTTAAAGGATGAGCCCAAAATCCGAGTTGCAGGTCGGGGACACTAAAATCAAACATGTGCGGAAGATTAAGTATCTGGGAAGTGTTCTGACAGAGGACGGTAGATGCGACTCTGAGATCCGAAGACGGATTGGAATGACCAACGATGCATTTCAAAAGCTTTGCAGAGTACCGCGAAACAGGAAGATTTCTTTGGTGACAAAGAAAAGAGCACTGAGCTGATAAGTGACATCTGTCCTCCTACATGGCAGCGAATGTTAGATGGTATCCTCAAGGATAAAGAAAAGACACGAGGCGGCGGAGATGTGATTCTACAGAAAGATGCTGAGGATATCATGGGGCGAGCGCGGGAGAAACGATGTGGTCTTGGAGAGGATGCAAACAAGGAGAAAGATGCTTAACATAAGGAAGAGGCAGATGAAATTTCTGGGACATGTGATGAGAAATGAGGGCCTGGAGAATCTGATATTCACAGGTCGAATAGAGAGGGGGGAAGAGACAGGAGGAAAGCAGCGCATGACATACCCGGCGGGCTTGGGCATGTGTTATGGCAGAGCGTGATCTGGGAGAGTTGGTAGAAACACAAAACCTGTTGAGAGCCACAAGAGATAAGGGGAAGTGGAGGGCCATGATCGCCTACGTCCTGAAAGGACACGGCACATAAAAAGAATCAACTTTGTAGAATATTTCATGAATTTGGAACATTTGACAGAATTGTCAAAATTCCCTACTAACACTTCGTTCGTATAAAATTCTTCAAAATTTCCCTGCTTTTCAAACTATCACTGTGGATTTCCCCGATATTATATTATGCCACGATCTTTGTTTTTGAAATTTTCTTCCGCACTATGCTGCAATTCTCTTCCCAAAAGATAGCATTACACATTGTCGTTTTATCAATCGAATCGAATTCGAAGCTATTTCAATATATCTGTCCTCCTATATGACAGAGAATGTTGGACAATCTCTTCCTCAACCCGGACGCCATGATCAAAGTGTAGTACGCTGCCTTTGTGAGCTTCCGAGTCGGCGTCTGTCGAACTATCTGCATTAGCAGAGAGGAACCCGGACGAAGCTTTGCCGAAGGGCAAGGTTTCGTTCGGGGAGGTAGACAAGGCCTGAATCCGTCAAGGCGGGTTCAAAAAGGCTATATTTTTGGCCGAGCCTACGGGCTCGGGGATACCCACATTAAACCGGCCTTGTGCCACATTCTATCCTCGTGGGTGGATTGAAAAATACTAAGATGAAGAATGGACTTGAAGCAACAGAAGGATGTGGTTCTACAGAAGGATGCTGAGGATACCATGGGCCTAACATTTGAGCAATAGCGGAGTTTTGGTTTCCTGTCCCTTGTAGCTCTAAATAAGTTTCGCCTTTTTGTTATTTCTTACAAAGCCTGTCCATTTGCTCAATCTCATTAAATATGTTACGCGCAATATTCTTCTGTCCCTCTTTGCCTTCAATCTGTCCTGTGAGTATCAGGTTTTCCAAGCCCTCCCTCCTCATTACGTACCTCAGAAATCTCAACTGCCTCTTCCTAATCTTAAGAATAAGTTTCCTTTTTGTTTCCATTTTCTCCAAAACCTCGTTGTTGCTCACATGTTCGGTCCATGGTATCCTCAGAGGTGAAAGAAAGAAAGAAAGAAAGAAAGAAAGAAAGAAAGAAAGAAAGAAAGAAGGAAAAGGGGCAAATAAATTATCTACATCGAGGGTGAAAAAATATTAAAGAAAAAGAAAGTAAAAGAAAAATCAAAAGAAAATCTACAAGAAAGAAAACGAAAGAAAAAAGAAAGAAATGGGGAAAGGATAAAACGGTAAAGGAACAAAAAAGAAAGAAGGAAAAAAAGAAATAATAAAGTAGCAAAGAAACGAAAAGGAAAGAAAGAAAGGAAAAAGAAAAAAAGGAAGGAAAAAGAATAACTGCGGGAACGATGGAAAGAATAAAAAGAAAAAGAAAACAAAAAGGAAAGTAAATGATGAAAAAAAAGAATAAAATGGCAAACAAACGAAAAGAAAGAAAGAAAGAAAGAAAAAAGAAAGAAAGAAAGAAAGAAAGAAAGAAAGAAAGCATAGATGAATGATTGATGATGGTAAGCTTGAAGGAGTAAAAAAAAAAGTAAAGAAAGAAGGAAAGAAATAAAAAATAAAGAAGTAAATAAACAAAAAGGAAAGAAAAATGAAAGATAGAATAAAATAACAAAGAAACGAAAACGAGAGAATAAAAAGGGAAATAAACGAAAAAGAAAGAAACAACGAAAGAAAGTATAAAATAAGAAAGAAACGGAACAGAAAGAAAGGGAAAAAGAAACCAAAGAGAAAGAAAGAAAGTCTGAACGAAACGCAACGCATAGAATAACTAAATGATAAGATAGATTGAGAGAGAGAGAGAGAAAGAGAAGTTGAAAATTGCTAAAAATAAGAAAGAAAGAATGAATAAATAAAATGCGAAAGCAAAGTAAAATCTTATTTAAAAAATGTGAAAATGAAAAACATGAATAATGAATGAACGAGGAAGAATCGACCGTTTAATAGAAAGTCGTAATAGATTGGGTCATAATAAAGAAGAAGAAGAAGAAGAAGAAGAAGAAGAAGAAGAAGAAGAAGAAGAAGAAGAATACAGAGGACAACACCTCGGAGGAATCTAAAGATAGAACATAGCGATCGCTGAAAATGTAGGCGTGTAGAAGGCAAGAGAAAAACAAGCGATCCGCACACGTGACCTTGTCGTCACATAGTCTCTACTCTGCTTCGATAACATCACACCGAAAGAGGAAAATACGGATGAAACGAGCGAGGCGTAAAAAAAAAAAAAAGATATGAAGTACTGGACATGTGGCTGTAAATCTCCTTTAATCGGTGCTAAGGACATTCACTTTCGGTTTGTTGTCAATACAAACAAAAACACGCGACTGAAACTATTTGATACAGATTTTCCACTTCCATCTAACAGAGGGTTTGTGATTTCGAAAATCTTGACGCATGACTGCGTATGGATAAGGCACAGAAGCCTATTTCACTTCCGCTAAAAAAAAATGAGCCCCCAGGGATGTCATCAGCGGCAAGCAAATCAACAATATTGTCATGGATGTGGTTCGACTCGGACACGAGTTGACTTTCCCCGACATATGCATCTCTCTCAGTCAATTCTAAAGCTCTCTATGTCGTTGTTCCGCATCTATCTATCTATCTATCTATCTATCTATCTATGTTCCATATCTATATATCTATCTATCTATCTATCTATCTATCTATCTATATATATATATATATATATATATATATATATTTATATATTGTGTATCTATCATATTTTCATTTATATATTTATTAAATAATATATATATGTTGTCTATTTTATATATATATTTATATATCTTATGATAAGTTTGGTAACATTATCATTAACCGAAATTTTTTTCCATGGTAATTTCTTTGTTTTTTTTTTTTGGTTAATGATAATGTTACCAAACTTATCAGAAGATACGAAAAAATTTTACATAAAATAAATAGACAACATTTGTCTATATTATTTAATGAAACGTGTATAAAATATATATATATATATATATATATATCAGTCTGTTCTATTATCTATCTATCTATCTATCTATCTATCTATCTATCTACAACAGTCTGTTCCTACCTATATATCTCAACCATTTTATATCTATCTATGTTTCTTATTTATATCAGTGCCTCATATCTATGCACATATGCATATATATATATATATGTGTGTGTGTGTGTGTTCATATCTATTTAACTGTTCATATCTATCTATCCCTTTACATATCTCAGTCTGTCTCCTTTCTAGCTATTTATCTATCTTTTGTATATCGACACATATATATATATATACATATACATATATATATATATATATATATATATATATATATATATATATATATATATATATGATAAAGACAATAAAACGCAAGGTGCTACTACTGACTGATAAAGAATATGAAAAATACTATTAAGAAGAGAGAACATTAAAAAGAAAAGGAAGATGAAATATACTATTAAGAAGGGAAGACAATAAAAGAGCAAGAATTAAGAAGACAGAATATAACGACTGACATTGCATTAAAATTTGGCTGGAAGGACAAGAAGCTGGAAGAGGCTTCTCAAACAAGAAATTCTAGCGAAGAAACTCTTAGTATAGAACTTACGGTTATATCTAGCCATTTCAACTGTAAAATGATGAAACCTTGTCAGCTATCTGGTAGTGCGCTTAAATTCATTAAGTCTAGGTATATAGAAGAAAATTCATCGGACATTTACCAATAAATTATTTATAGAAAAAGCACAGAATGTCTGCTTCTACAAGTTTGGAAAAAACACAAGTTAGTCCTAGACGGGATTAGAACTCAGATCATAAACAATATGACTGGCAGTATGACTGAATGCAGAGAAGTTGGATTTATGCTTCTACACATTTGGAAAAGCATACATATTTGTCCCAAGCGGAATTTGAACCAATTCCATGAACATTATGACTGGCGTTATGACTTGATCTATAGAAGTTGCATTTATGCTTCTTCAAAATGAAAAATGACTTGCACCAAGATCATTAACATTATGACTGGCGATGTGACTGAACGTAATTGATACATAGTCCCAAGCAAAAAGCGAATTTAGCCTGATTATTGACTTTCGTCATGTTGCAATATTCAATGGAAATCTTTTATAGTACAACATCAAGCGTTGACACTCAGATGTGTATTGTGAATTGCTTACTTTTGCGCATGCTCATGACTAATTTATTACTCTATCCATTACCGAAGAACCATCTTTAAACAATGAATAAATTATTCAAAATTCTTTTCTTCTTTGAATAGCAACATTTCTAAAATAACAAAGCAGTTTATTTATTTATTTTTTACTTCACTTTTTAAATTTCTAAAGTCCGATAAAGTGTTTCTCTTTTATGTTTTGTTTTTATTATAACTCTTTTAAGCGCGCTTGATCTTGGAACTAATCCAATATATACAAGCGTTAACAAATACACCGAAAAAACACAAAAACAAAGAAATTACCATGGAAATTAATTTCCGTCTTCTCATCACGTCATAACGGTAAGGTAAGACGGACGCATAACCCGAGTAAAACAGATGTCCTTGTTTTTTTAAAAGATAAACAATTGAATTAATCAGATTGCTTTGAAATTGTCCTTGTGAATAAGATCGCTTCACATATGGTGAATGCATAGTACCATATGGCCAGATGTAATTGGAAGCTAGCATTCTCTGTTTTCAACAAAAATAATGAAAGAATTTTATTTTTGAATGATGTTCTTTTCGCCGAGATTATTATTCCCACACATAAAACGACTGAGCGGTATAATAATAATAATAATAATAATAATAATAATAATAACAACAATAATAATAACAATAATAATAATAACATTAATAATAATGATAATATCATTAATAATAATGACAACAATAATAATGATAACAATAATAATAATAACATTAATATTAATAACATTAATAATAATAATAACAATAATAATAAGAACAATAATAATAATAACATTAATAATAATGATAACAATAATAATAACAATAATATCATTAATAATAATAACAACAATAATAATAACATTAATAATAATAATAATAACTTGCCCCAAATGAATATAAAAATCGTCACGATAGAGTGGGGCAATACTTACACTGGACAATGTGCAAACACTTTGGAAAATGTGTAAGCAAACACTGGTATGAACATCGGCCAGCGCCGGTTACAGAAATAGAAGATGTCACCATTCTATGGGATTATACCATCCACACAGACAGAAAAATTGAAGCAAATAGGCCGGACATTATTGTCAAAAACCAGAAAGAAAAAACTTGCCTACTAATTGATATGGCTTGTCCAGCGGATTGTAACATAGCAACCAAGGAATTTGAAAAACTATCAAAATACAAAGACCTGGAAATTGAAATAGAAAAATGTGGAAATTGAAAACAAGAATAATACCAGTGGTAATAGGTGCACTTGGAATTATAAAAATGGAACAAAACAACACATTGAAAGAATCCCTGGAAACCCCAGCTTAAGAGACATACAGAAAATTGTCTTATTAAGAACAGCACACACACTAAGGAGAACTTTTCTATGTAACGCTAGCAACTTCATCGGAGATAAAAAAAAAAAAAAAAAAATTTAACATGAAATGTGGCCATAACAACACACCACGACCTGCCTTAGGTCTTTCCGCAGACTTGGTAGGTAGTGTGTCCATAGCAGAAATCGAATGATGATGATGATGACATAATAATAACAATAATAATAATAACAATAATAATAATAACATTAATAATAATAATAAAAGATCTTCAAACAGCTATCAAAAAAGCTATCAAAATACAAGGACCTTGAAATCAAAATCTCTAAAATGTGGCATATGGAAACATCAAGAATCCCAGTTATATTTGAAGCCGTCGGATTGGATGAAAAAGATTCCAGTAGACTAATTGAACGGATTCTTGGAAGTCTATGCCTCAAAGAAATACAAAAATTATTCTCACGAATACAGCCCACACCTTACGAAGGGCTTTATCTATGTAAAATATGTTTGTTGTTTTTTTTTTGGTTTTTTTAATAGGTCAGTGGAAAATGTCATGATGTCATTTCTAACCTTAGGTCTCTGGACGGGACCCGGAAAGAAATGTGTACACACCAGAAATCAATGGAAATATAATCATAATAATAATAAAAATATTACTAATAATAATAATTAAAAAAATATGATTGACGTAACTCTTCCAATATTTTCCAACCGTTAAGAGAAGAGTGTAACTTAAGAAAAGATAAAGAAAAGAAAAAACAATGTTTGATAATGTTAATATTTCAACAGAATTTCTGTCTTCAAATTGTATTTTTTTTTTAATTTTTCAAGAAAAAAATATATAAATCTACAAAAAATGATGTCTTTGCACAAACGTTGTTTGTCTTGTAATTAAAAGACGGCTGTACTGGTAATCAACGCGTCAAAACGAATGGAACGCCGCCAATGTAGTGGTAAGCAACTGAGACGTTCTTAATATGATGGTTATCTTGTTCATTTTGGAATGTTCTGTTAGTTGATTCAATCAAGAAGAACACAGACGTTCTGTTGGAATATTGTTCGACATTGTCAAATTTTTCTTTTCTTTTTCTTTTCTTAAATCACGCTCTTCTTTTAACAGCAACAGCATTAATAATAATATATTATTATTATTATTATTATTTGAAAAGACCCGTGAAAATTTTCCGTTTTCCTATTTGAATTTTCTGATGAAATTTCTCATGGCGAGTTCTGTGACAATAAAATATCCGTAGACATTTCCCTATCTCAGACTAAATTTTTCCGCTGATTATATAGAATAAACTGCTAAGTCTGCAGCTAGGAATGTTGATCCACTGTGTCGAGGTAGACAATTTTTCTCGCCAGAATCTATCTTGCATATTTATAAATCTACCATTTGTCCTTGCTTTCAATATTGAAGACACATAGGGTCTGGCGCTCCTGATATATAGAGAAATTCTTGATCAAATGCAAATAAGAATCTGCAATGTTATTGGTCCTGACATGTATGGCACCTTGCATTTATTGGAAATATTCATAGAAATATGAGTTAATTTTTTCTTATTCAGTTTATTAAACAGGTTGTTAATTTTTTTTTAAAAACGGAAAATAACTGAGTTGAAAATAATTCACTAAGAATGTACTAGACGATCCTAAGGAAAGAAGAAGGAAAGAAAAGAAAAAGGAAGGAAGGAAGAAAAAGAAAGAAAGAGAAATGTATGACGCATGACCCAGTTGATGGTAGAGATAGGTCTGCGTGTGGTCGACTTTTTTTTTTTTTTAAAACAAAGGGAAGAATAGAATTGGAAATAATAAAAAGAGAAAGAAAGGGAAAAGACATGATATCGACCAGATGTCGGTCAGAGGCCTCTGACCGACTCTTGCGTCAAAAAACCCTTATCAATTTGGAGTGAAGAGAAATTTTTATTTTTTTTCTTTTGAACAATAGAAACGAAATTTGTGATCTGAGAGAAAGTGTCTTTGGGTTGAGGGGAGTGACCAGTGGAACGATATACAGACCTGTTAAGAATTGGACACCCACGTTAATAAAGTAGAGACATTTCAATGTAGATAATTAAGATTTTCGACTATCAGGTAAAACAAAGAAGTAAAAAAGAGGGACAATTGCTTTTGGCTCACAGAGGGCGCCAAGAAGGCGGAAAAGATCCTTTTCTAAAGTCAAGACTAATTAGCAGCGGGCTGTTTGACAAAGTCCAGGTGAAAGAAAGCTAAAGATTGTCATTTTGCGTACGTGCAAAAAGGTGCGAAATCGGATTTTGTTTTTTTTTAAAACCAGCACGAGGTAACCACACCCGCCAACAAAGGAGAGGGTGTTCGGTCAATAACAATTGGTCGAATACAATCACGTGACCGCGGAAGAAGAAGGAAAGAAAACCTCGATCAATAACTGTTGGACGAGGCGGTCACGTGGGCTGCGGAAAAGAAGAGAAAGAAAGGTTCGATCGGGAACGATTGGTTGAGAGCGATCACCTGACATGAGAGAGACTAAGAGAAATAGATATGCGCCGCCCCACCAAGAGCACTGT